TCAAATTCCATTTCAGATTCACTGCTTTCTTCAGAATCTAAGGAATCTTCAACTCCAATGTTAATTATTACCGGTTCCAGCATCGCATCAGTCATATTATCCAAATTCCACATTTTATTTTCTTCCTTGTGAGCATGACTAACAGCATTTTTCCAATTTTCTGGAGTTACTTTTGATAAGGAATGTTCTAATAATTGTTGTAAGTCTTCTAATTTAAAAGTTTTGTTGTTGCGTCCGACTTCACCCTTTACTTGAGATCATATATTTTCTATCGGATTCAGATTACAACAGTGGTATGGGGGTAAACGTAAAATAATTACATCACGGTTTAATGCCATTTCATCAATTATATATTTTTTATAAGCTGCTTTATGTTGAGTTACAATAGGTAATAATCCTTTTTTTGTCGAATTCTCCTTGTACTCAATTGCGTGTTTATCCAACCATTCGATTATTTCTCCTTTTTTCCACGCCGTTGTAGCATTATCCATGACTATGACAGAATTTTTTGGAATTAAATCCAACATTTGCTCAAAATATTCTTCAAAAACTTCATCAGTCATTTCCTCTTTGAGTCAAAACTTAATAATCCACCATTGACAAAACCGTATTCGTTTCCAATATGGGTTATTATGAGTCTGCGTCCTTTTCCAACGGGAATATTGTTTATTCCAGTAGATACACCTTCGATGAATGCCTGACGGGAACTTTTCACATTTATATCAACCCATAGATATGGTACAGTATGACCTTCATTTAGCCAAGTCTCGTCCAAATAAAAAATTGTTTTCCCTTCTTCTCGATACTTTTTAATAGTTCTTAGATAATCTAGTCTCCAACATACAATGTAATCTTTTTCAATTAAAACGGATTTTCCTCCATACTTTTGCCAACAAAATCCCATCTCTCTCAATAGTCCCCATAATTTCTTCTTACTTATGATTGGTAACTCTTCGTTTTCTCTAATTAATGTTTGGATTTTGTCCAATGTTGGAAATTCTTTCTTCTTCTTCTTCAAGTGCCCTGTCCGTTGCGAACGTTGGCTAATAACATGGCAATTTTGATCTTGTTTGTGGCGCTTCTGAATAGTTCGACCGATGTGAGCCCGAACCACTTCCGCAGATTATGGAGCCACGAGTGTCTTCTCCTTCCTGGCCCTCGCTTACTGTCTATTTTTCCCTGGACAATCAATTGTAGCAGACGGTACTTATCGTTTCTCAATATGTGGCCTAGATATTCAAGCTTTCTTTGTTTAATTGTATTCACGATTTATTTCTCCTTTCCGATTCTTTGGAGTACCTCTATGTTGGTGACATGTTCGGTCCAGGATATACGAAGAATGCGTCGGTACACCCACATTTCGAATGCTTCTAGTTTTCTTGTTAGCGCCTCCGTCAGCGTCCAGGCCTCCACGCCATACAGCAAGATCGGAAAAATGTAGCAGATCGGAAAAATGTAGCAGGATCGGAAAAATGTAGCAAGGAAATTCTTTGTTAGAAAAAAATGAGTGGACGCTGCGTCTTATCATGTTTTTTATGTATTTCTTCAATTTCCAAGGGTTTACTCCCTCCACTCTTCTTGGGAGATGAAACAGTTCCTCCTTTTCTTTCTTTTAGGAATCTATAAATTGTTGCTTCTCCAACCCCTGTCATATTTGAACACATGTTAACGATTTCACGAACATTACTTAAAGGGCGTAGATGTACAAGTGCATCGTGTACATTTAATATTATATTTCTCTCTCTTAGACTGAAGGCACCTTTAAAACTACACTTAACCGGGATAAAACCTGTTGTCGACGTCATTTTTAAATGCAAATAACAAAATATCGACACCAAAAACGTAGGTAGGTAAGACATGAACAATGTACATCTACAAACTAAATGAAAAATGCAAACAATTTCTAATTTATATTATTGGCACAAGCTGTAATGTGGCATAAAAACTACTTAAACTATCATTAGTGAAGCCTTATCAGTAATTCCAGGTAATCGTTCAAAGAAGGTATTCTTTTTGTGTCAGGCGATAACTTGTATAGAAAACAATAATCACCTTTAAATTACTGTTTACATTAATTTATTTCGTGAAACATTGAATTAACACGTTAATTACCCATGTATAATTAACAATAATCGTGTGGCATATATATCGACGTTTTTTACGCACAAAAAGGTATAGTGAGATTAGTGGACACTTATTTTACAGAAGATTTTTTAAAAGATAATGAATTGTTGACGGCATCTTAAAATATTAATTTTTATTTATTTATTTCAAAACAAGTATAGGGTGACGCCTATGGTTTTTTGACCTGTTGAGGAGTTGCATACATAATGTGCTATCAATATGATGCAAAAGGACTATAAGTACGCAAAATCCTACGACAAATTGTTATAGAAAACGACGTCATCAAAGCAGTGAATGAATTTGTATACCTGGGAGCGCTCCGTAACACTGAAAATAATACTACCGCAGATATAAACAGCAGAATTTGCATGGCCAACAGATGCTGTTTTGGGTTCAATCTCCTCATTATTATATCGAAAAATGCAAAAATAAAACTACAAAACCATAATACGCCCAGTCCGAACATATGATTCAGAGACCAGGACTCTAACAAAAACGAATGAAAACATATTAGAATGTTTAAAAAAAAAGTACCAAGGCGAATCTATGGAGCAGTGAATGACATTGGAGTGTGGAGAAGACGATACAACTTGGAACTTTATAGAATATACCAGGAACCAGATACCATAAAACATATTAAGATAGATCAATATAAGGTTGAATGTTCGAATAAATGAACTTTGATGGTATACAAGGCAAATATCGAACACAGTAATTAATTAAATCTTGATCAAGTACTTTCGATCAATAGATCATCCTCAGGGGCACCTGAAATAAGCCAAGAAACGTTTTTTTATAAAAAGGGAAATTAATTCACTTCGATAAAAAACTCGAAGTTTATGGTTGAAAAAAGTTTTTATGTGATAAACGTTTATAGACTTACTTCGTCAGTTGTGGCCTATCCGAGATGAGCAGAATGTCATACATGTAAATTTGGACATAACAATACAATACACAAAGACAAACAAACACTTTAAAATTTTTAAAAATAGAGAAGCTACATGTTATATAGAAGCCGGAGACAGAATGGCTCCCGGTCTGGCGGATATATTGAGATAACATGTGACAAATGACAGCTTGTAAAGGGCGGTTACAATAGATATGTGATCTGCACCTTTCAAAATTCTATGAAACTAAGTATTGACCAAAGGTCCAACTGACACCACTAGAAATCAACTGATGAAATATAAAATTATATAGTATATTTTTTTTATGTAGATTGAATAATCCAAATCTCACACTCAAACCTGTCTATAATAATTAGGATGTTAGTTTGAGAGCAATTGAAGTTGACATAAAGTATGAATGTAAGAAAAAGACTAAACAATATATTAGACAGAGGATGGTTGACTACAATAAAATGGTCCACCAAGCGCTATCAGTACTATAAAAAAGGAAAAATCTGAATATGCAGTTAAATTACTAAAAGTTAAAATCAAAATTGAAAGCAAAATATATAAATGGGTTATAATCCAAGTAGTTCAGTTGAATCCACAGTCAATGGAAGAACTTTAAAATTAATATCGAAATGCTCAGTGCATGAAGTCTAAACAGTCGAGCTGGGTCCTCTACGAGGTGAAGCTGTAATAAAGTTTTTAAATATAGGATTAAATTTAGTACAATTTAAATTAATTTGAGTATTAAGACAGTGAGAGTTTTCATTTGTTTCCCTTGTAATCTCCAAATCTTCCAATAAATCCAACTCAAGATAGTTTTTCTTTCTACTAATGTCATGTAAGATAGATGAACCAGAATTGATGTTAAAATTGTGGTTGCTGGATACTAAGTGTTGACCAAAACTTGAAGAGTTTGGTCTTTTCAAATGTTCAGAGACTCTAGTGGATAACTTTCTGATGGTTCTACCTACATAAGAGGCATTACAATCATCACGTTTTATCATCACAAAATGTGCAGATCACATATCTATTGTAACCGCCCTTTACAAGCTGTCATTTATCACATGTCATCTCAATATATCCGCCAGACCGGGAGCCATTCTGTCTCCGGCTTCTATATAACATGTAGCTTCTCTATTTTTAAAAATTTTAAAGTGTTTGTTTGTCTTTGTGTATTGTATTGTTATGTCCAAATTTACATGTATGACATTCTGCTCATGTCGGATAGGTCACAACTGACGAAGTAAGTCTATAAACGTTTATCACATAAAAACTTTTTTCAACCATAAACTTCGAGTTTTTTATCGAAATGAATTAATTTCCCTTTTTATAAAAAAACGTTTCTTGGCTTATTTCAGATGCCCCTGAGGATGATCTATTGATCGAAAGTACTTGGGCAAGATTAAATTAATTACTGTGTTCGATATTTGCCTTGTATACCATCGAAGTTCATATTAAGATAGGACGTCTGAGGTGGATAGGGCATGTAATGCGGATGGAACAAAATGACCCAGCTAGAAAAACGCTCCTTGATAAACCCATTGGTCAGAGAAGAAAAGGAAGACCCAGAACAAGGTTCCTCGATAACATCGATGAAGACATGAGAGATATGGGAATACGTAATTGCAGAGGAAGGCGATGGATGACTGGAGAGAAATTCTTGGGGAGGCTAGAACCTAGAATGATGATGATGATAGTGTTGTCCAAGTTTCTTATTTTTCATACCTGTGGTATCACGGATATAAGATAGTAACGTTATATAATATGGCTACAAAATTTAAATTGATTGAAATGAAAAGTTATTACTCAAATGCTATCGCTACTGTTCATAATCATTCGGATTTTTGCAATTATTTCATACAACGGGCAAAAAACCTACAAATATGACACCCTAAATTCACTCAGCAGTATCACTCTTTTATATTAATAATTATATAGGTATAATTGACAAATTAGTCTACTTATATGTTTCTTTTATAGGGAGATAGGTTCGAAATTTTGAAGGTACTTTCTAAAAATCTGAATTTAAGCGATGATGTATCATTGGAACACATTTCTACAAAAACAGAAAATTATTCAGGAGCTGATTTACAATCTCTTCTTTATTCAGCCCACATGTTAACCATTGATTATTCATTTGAAAATGATAAGGTAAGATATAATTTCTTTTCTTTATTTTTATTTTTTTTTATTTAGAAATTACAGCCGCATCCACCATAATGGTTATTAGCGGCAGCTACAGAATTACAAAATTAGAGTTTATAAAATAGTCCTATAGATTTTAAGAACTTTACAATATTACTAGCTGAGAAATTAGTGCCTAATAAATTACTTAAACTCTTAGGTATGTTAAATGTAACACGAAAATTGGCAAATCTATGGCATTCAATTAATAAATGGTTAATGGTTAACTGTACATTACATGTTTCGCAAATAGGTGGATCACTTTTGGTAAATAAGTATGAGTGAGTAAGTCTCGTGTGTCCAATTCGTAATCTCGTTATCACCAATTGTTCTCTTCTGTTCCTTGTTGAGGGTTTCCAAGCTGCAACGTCATTTTTAATTTGCTGCAGTGATGTTTGAGAAGATTGCCATTCCTTTTTCCACATGCACAAAACTCGATTCTTTATAAAGGCTTTTATATCACTCGCGGTATTTCGATACTCGGCTTTTTCTATATTGGCACATTTAGCAATTTCACTCGCGCACTGGTCCGCACTTTCGTTGCCAGCAATGCCAATGTGGGATGTAATCCATATAAATCTGATACTCCTAGAATTTTCTTGAGCTTGCATAAGTTCTAGTTTTATCAGTTTCTCAAGGGGACCTTTAGGATAGATCTGTTTAAGGGTTTGAAGGGCGCTTAGTGAGTCACTTAAGATAACAGAGTTAGGAATGTTATTAGAATTTATATGTATGATAGCTTTAAACACTGCATAGAGTTCAGCGGAGAAAATCGAAAAGAAGGTTGGGAGACGAAATTGATATGTATCGTTTGGAGTAACGAATGCAGCATCTACTCGTTTATCACACTTAGATGCATCTGTAAATATTTTATAGCAATGTTCGTAATGCTGACGGAGAATTGGATCTAGATTGGGAAGTCGATTCAGAGATGTCGTTACGAAAGTGTTGGGGGATTTTCTTTCTTAAGAAGGTGATATGACGTTTGGTTGATCTATCTTTTAATTGTGGATGAACTTTAGTTAGCATACGAGCTAATCCCACAAGGTCAGAAGTAAACTCTTGAATTATGTTAGAAGGATCCTGCACGCCGCTAACATTGCTTAGAAGTAGATTTAATTGGTCAAAATTGAGGACAAATGTGGGTAGATGATTTTGGATAAAATCTTTGGCAGGCTCAAGGTCATATGATTTTGTTGATTTTATGGATGTATGCTCCTCATTGCTTTTAACTTTCTTGACTCTAGGTTTGGATGTAGGTTCAGCAAATGATTTTTCTGTTGTTTCAGAAGTTGTTTCTGGAGACAGAACATCATTGATACTACGTTTCGGCTGGAGATCGATATTAATTACTTTGCAGCTTTCCATGGTGTTAACTTCTTCTTGACCATTAGCAATGTTAGGATTGCTCAGATTGTTTGCTAATTTTCCTTGGACGGACATTTGTTCGTTTGATATGGATGTTGCTGCAGGTTGAGGCATGATGTCAGGGGAGGAAGAAGTAGTAGATTGACTGTTATTAGAATCAATTAAGTTTGTTGTTGATTCTAGTTTATTAGGACAGTTGGTGGCGATATGACCAGACTTTTTGCAGTTATAACAGGCCATAGTTTCTTGAGATAAGAATATTCGATATGTTGTATTATCGAAGTCTAAGGTGAATGAGTCGGGTAAGGGGATATTATGGGGACTGACGTATATTTGTCTTCTGAAACTTAAAATATGATTATATTCGGAAAGAGTGGAACTGATTTTTAGAAAAGTGACAGGAGAGACCATATTAAGTCCAATACTTTGTAGATATTCAACTAACAGACTGTGTGGTATTGTTGGACATACGTTTGAAAAAACAATACGTGTTGCTGGTGAGATTAATCTTCTAGCTTGTACAATATTGTTCTGGATTTCTATTTGTCCATGATTTTGCATGAATTCGTCCACGACTTGTTTGTTTGCAAGGTACATGCAAATCCGATTATTGGATAGTCGGGAGGAAAATATAATATGTTTGGGACGAATTAGGTTACCTAAAGGAATTAAGTAATCTTGCAGTCGCGTATTTTCTAAAGCGCTGAAGACAATTGCTTGATGTTTTGAGGGAAATTGTGTAGAAGCTGCTGATGAATAGGTTTTATTGGTATTTGTCTGTGATTGCAATACATGTGGTGTGTTAGAGAGACTCTGAATATTAGGTTCCATTTTTGATTTTAACACGGGACATGTGTTTAAAAATAATACGGACCTGACTAGTAATCAAACAGGTAATAAAACTGGAATAATATTTCTTGAGTCGTATCTTATTGATAATTGTTAAATTACAAATCAACAAAAAACTGGTTGATCACGTTATATTAATGAAAACTAATATGATGTGTTCACTTACTGGTATTTCATGTAATGGTCACTTAACGATTTATAAATAAACTGTTATAATTACTGCATACAATTTGCAAATTTGTTGAGACCAAAACAAACACACCTTTCGGTATCTCATTCAGGGCCGAACTCCTTTCTTTATTTTTAGTAAATCTAAAATAAAAAAAAACACGAAGTAACAAAAGTGTTTGATAACATTTAACAGAATTCAATGAAGATGTGTTTTCAATAGATATAAGAGTGGACCAAGCACATTACCTTGAGGTACGCCGGAGTTTATAGATCTCAATTTTGTTACTACCGTACCGTATTTTTTTGGAAATATCTGTCTTTTATGTATGATTTGAATATCCTGCAGTATTCAGATAGTAGTTGCTTAATTTTATACAGCAATCCTGTACTTTGTTAAACTTTATCAAAAGATTGTGTGATGTCCAAGAAGACTGCAGAACAATAGCGCTTCTCATCCAAATTCTGGTTTATGATATTAACACCACTGTGCACTTGGTCAGCTGCAACGTGCTTTGTCGAAAACAAAACTGGTTGTCAGAAACTAAGAACTTACTTTCTTTATTATGAGTTTTTCAAGAATTTTAGCAAGAATTGGTAATAAACTAATGGGTCTATCCGAAGTTACGGATTCTAAAGATTTGTCTATTCTATAGATTAAAATAACTCGAACGAACCACTTTCTATTGTGAAGTAAAATTTCCTAATCCTAATACCGCCTTGTAGATTTGTGTTAATAAGAGGATCAATTTTGTGGTAATTGACATAAGACGAATCCAGTAATCAGCTCATAACTAGGAATTTTCTTTTTATTAGTATTAAGTATTAATTAATTAAATGCCGTTTCAGGAGCGGTAGGCTTAAAAATGAACTACAGTAAAACAAAAATACTGAGCTGAGACCAGACAAATATATCAATACAAAATCATACCATAGAAAATGTTGAACATTATGTATATCTAGGTCAAATCAATGTCATCAAACTAGGAAAATCAAATCAAGATGCTGAAATTAAAAGAAGAACACAACTGGCATGGGGCGCTTTCGGCAAACTAGCATATATCTTGAAAAATACCTCCATTCCTGCAAACTTAAAGAAAAAGGTGTATAACACATGCTTACTACCAGTTTGTACCTACGGCTTGGAGACAGTAGCCCTTACGAAAAAATCTGCTAAAAAATTAGAAACAATGCAAAGAGCAATGGAACGAATCATGCTCGGAATATCATTGAGAGACAAGATTAGAAACACCGAGATAAGACGTAGAACGAAGATTAGGGAAATTGTGGAAGAAATTACCAAATTGAAATGGCGTTGGGCAGGTCACGTAGCCCGATATAATAACAATAGGTGGACACGGAGAATTCTAGAATAGAGACCAAGGACGACAACAAGAAGCATGGGAAGACCTCAAAAAAGATGGGTAGATAACATAAGAGCAGTGGCAGGCAAACAGTGGATTAGATTAACGCATTAAGATGGACGCAATTGGGAGAGACCTACATTCATGAGTGGATGGAAAATGGTTGACAAAGAGAGTATTGCGTCAATAATTTCGGTTTTTCTAAAAGTTTTAATAGGCAGAGACATTTGGTATGGGCAGTCCTAATATCTATGAATATTTTCCTTTTCCTCTGATTGTAACTCACAGGGAAATGGAGTAAAGGTATTTTCCAAGCGTTCGAGTGCTTATCCAATTGCATCAGTGCGTATCCAATTTCCGTTACTCATTTTGATAGGTGGTATATGTTGTGATCGTAACAATTTTCTGGTTACCTTTCAAAGGGTGTAATCTGTGGCTTCTAGTGGCGATAACTCTCTCAGACATTTTGCAGTTGATGTGTTTTTTAGATCACTTTTTTTCAGGTCTTTTGCTGCTTTGATAAATGCAGCTTTATTGGTTGGTGTTCGATTTTTTGCCATGTCTTTCTTGAAATTCTCTTTTCTTTAATTTTTTGTGTAAAGGCCTCAAAATAGAACTCCTTGTTAGGTTTATTATTGGGAAAATTTATTTGTGTTGTGTGCTTGGGAGGGCGGTATAATGATGATATAGTCATTGGTCCACTCCAGTCTTTAATTACTGTTGTTGTGACCTCCAGGTGCGATATTTTAGTTGCCTGTGATAATTGTGGCGGAACCTCCATGTGCAGTATCATCAGGATGATTTGTGGAATACAATTTATAGTTATTTTTATATCTTTAGTATAGATATTTTCCAGTAACTTTTACCTGTAAGGTGCGTTTTGGAAATAAGCATTAAGTATATCAATTTTATTTGCAATTAAAAATGTTTTTAACTCTTGGCTGTGTTGAGCCATAAGGTTGGCATTCCATATTGCCAGTTTAAGTATAATAGCCATTTAGATGATTCTAGATTCAAGTGCGACCAGGCGGCTTGATAAATCGTCTAATCTACCTGCTAATTGAGTAATAATGTTTTCTAGTTTATTTATAACATTGTACACCAGTCTGATTATTTGGTTGAATTTACGTATTGAGATGCTGTCATTTTGTCATTCTATCTCTTATAATAACGGATGGTTTACGGACGGCCAGACAGACATAGATAGTTCAAGGTTTT